CATGGAGATACTGGTGTTGAGTCTCTGGTCCCTAGTATGCACATGCTCAGTGTTGGTGGAATTGTCAAAAGTGAGCACTGGAGGAGCTAGCTGCGGCTCTGACAGCCGGCTGATAATGGCAGACTTCCTGCCCAGTTTTTGCAGAAAGGCATTCTTGGGGCTGCCCTCTCTCTCCAAAGGATCCCTATGGTCTGCATCCACATCATCTGGCTCTACACTCTCCAAGGACACACTGCTCATGCTCAGCCGCCTGTGCTTGTCTCCTTGTAGCTCTGTAGGAGTCCCGACTCCCTTGCTTTCAAAGGTCCTGCGATTCCTCTCATAGCACTGCATGCAGGGCTTGGCCTTGATCTCCTTCCTCCTATCCACCTCTACCTTATCCGTGGTGAGGCCAACAGAACGTGTGCGTGCTCCTATATGGGACACCCCTATGTCCCTTGTCAGAACTCGGCAACTAGTAGCTGCGTCACGGACACTCTTTCGGGGAACGAGAGGGGTGCTGGGCATACTGTGACTCACTCTCTTCTCTCCAGTTTGGTCCAAGCCCAAGCGCCTCTCAGCTGACGTGTCATAGCTAAGACGACGCTCTGAGGTGTGATCCTGCACCTCTTTAATGAAAAGAGGCGTGTCATCTGCCACTGATCGCACTGACTCACACTCTGAGCCCTCTGAGAGAGAGCCTCGCCTTGCACGCCGATACGAACGGAACTCCTCCAGGTTGACCCGCATGGCTGTGTGTTAGAAACAAGGGGTCAAAATACACAAGGTAAAAATCAATGGAGGTGTCCACATTATTCAACAAAAAACGTTATCAAAGCTGCCGATGCCCAACTCCCCAACCTCAGCTACAGTCTTCATAGCCCCTTCTCTTACGTGACTCGCTGCGCCTGCGTGATGGCCGCCGGTGCTGCTTTAGGGAGGCCAAACGACCCTCCAGCTCATCCTCTGAGAGGTCAGTGAGGTCACTGTCCAATCCAGGGGGAAGCAGGAAGGGCACGTCATCACCCTTGAGCCTCAACGACTTGAGCTGCTGAAGGAGGAACCGCTTCTCCTCCTTCAGGACATTCAGCTTGACCTGATGGAGGAAGTAATGGGTGAGAACTAGGAGAGACAAGATAAGGACACAGAAGGAGAAAGGAAAGAGGAAGAATGTAAAGAAAAAAATGTATCTGACTGAGGTTGAATGGAATAAAACTATATTTTATGCTGTTTTGAAGATTAAGTACCACACCCACATACATATGCATGTATATGTTTGCATAAAGGGAGCAATCAAGCAAGAAAGAGGGAGACTGGAGAGAGAGGAAGAGAGAAAGAGCAGGTTATACAGACATACGCATATGGTCCAGACAACAGCCCTTACCTGCAGCACTGGGATGGTCTTGACTTCCTCCTCCAGTTCCTTCAGTCGACTCAAACTCGTTGCCATTTGATCGCGAATGGACTGGAACAATTACAGTAGTTAGAGAAATGAAAATGAAATAATACAAAGAGCAGAAAATGATAAGCAAATGGTGATAACAATTGCATTAAACCAACAGGAGTAATGGAATTCCTCTAAAAGTCATCGTAATACTAATTGTAATAATGCCTGCAATACTTAAAATTCTGTATTTGAGTTTCTAGAAGGAATCCTTTCCATGAAACATTTGATGAAATATAAGTAAAAATGAACAAACTGATCGCACTAAAGAAAAACTGAACCATTATATTGAAATTAATGGGCAACCATATCACAATCAAATAAAAATCTGGAATTTCAAAACAAAAGATATATAAAGCTCAGTAGGCATTAGAGATGATGAGAGGTAAGGGAGGGAGGGAGAGGAAGAAAGAAGGAAGAAAGGAAGAAAGAAAGAAAGAAAGAAAGAAAGAAAGGAAGGAAGGAAGGAAGAAAAGGAAGGAAAAAGAGAAACAGGGAACGAGTAAAGGAGGGAGTGAGAGTAGGGATGGAGGGATGGGGAAAGGAGAAGAAAGAGAAAGAGAAAGACAGAGAGAGAGAGAGAGAGAGAGAGAGAGAGAGAGAGAGAGAGAGAGAGAGAGAGAGAGAGAGAGAGAGAGAGAGAGAGAGAGAGAGAGAGAGAGAGGAGAGAGAGAGAGGAGAGAGAGAGAGGAGAGAGAGAGAGGAGAGAGAGAGAGGAGAGAGAGAGAGGAGAGAGAGAGAGAGAGAGAGAGAGAGAGAGAGAGAGAGAGAGAGAGAGAGAGAGAGAGAGAGAGAGAGAGGAGAGAGAGAGAGGAGAGAGAGAGAGGAGAGAGAGAGAGGAGAGAGAGAGAGAGAGAGAGAGAGAGAGAGGAGAGAGAGAGAGGAGAGAGAGAGAGGAGAGAGAGAGAGGAGAGAGAGAGAGAGAGAGAGAGAGAGAGAGAGAGGAGAGAGAGAGAGGAGAGAGAGAGAGGAGAGAGAGAGAGAGAGAGAGAGGAGAGAGAGAGAGAGAGAGAGAGAGAGAGAGAGAGAGAGAGAGAGAGAGAGAGAGGAGAGAGAGAGAGAGAGAGAGAGAGAGAGAGAGGAGAGAGAGAGAGGAGAGAGAGAGAGGAGAGAGAGAGAGAGAGAGAGAGGAGAGAGAGAGGAGAGAGAGAGGAGAGAAAGGAGAGAGAAAGGAGAGAGAAAGGAGAGAAAGGAGAGAGAGGAGAGAGAGGAGAGAGAGAGGAGAGAGAGGAGAGAGAGGAGGGAGAGGAGGGAGAGGAGGGAGAGGAGGGAGAAGGAAAAAGAGAAAGAGAAAAAAAAAAAGGCTAGGAAGAAGACATAGGCATAACAGAAAAAGCGGACAGAAAAGAGGGACAGAGAGATCCTTTCTTCCTCAGAGCAGGAGTTGCCTCAGACTCTCCCAGCGTCACCCTCGGCCTGGGAATCCCCCTCAAGACCACGAGGGGAAGCAGCAAAGACGCCTCTCCGCTGCCCATCCTACCTGGAGCGTGGAGGTGCTGACCCCAGACATGGCAGACGTCACACTCATAGTGTCAAAGTCCGGCATCGCAGCCGGATAGTAGCCCCGACTGCTGGCGTTGAGTGCCGCCAGGGTGTCAGAGAGATGTGGGGAGGGCGGCATTTGCTAGACGGCGGGGAGTGCAAAGCGTTAATCAGGCTGTAAAGTTAGGTTCCCATCACCAGTTCACCGGAAGCCATGGCCTACCAAAGCCGGCACTTACCATTTCTCACTCGGGAATGCACTTCTTTGGGGGGTAGTTGGTTAAGACACAAAAACTACTGGTATCAAGATAGTTAGGGTCATCTACTACAAGTTGGTAAAACAACGTTCATCAAATAACAATCACTGTAGCTAATGAATGAATAAATAAATAAAAATCAAAGAATCACCAAAAAAATAAATAAATATACACACATATAGCACATACAGGTAAATCAACAGAGCTCATATTCATCAACATCGATCTATATAAAAAAAAAAAAACAGAAAGCACTAAAGCAGCTGCAAGATGCACGCTCAGAAAGGAGAGAAAAATGCTCAGCAAAGCAGAGACACGTCAGAGACATGTCCAAGACACGTCAGAAGATGGGAGAAATCCTAAAAGGATTCTTTTCCCAAAGGGTTGAAAAAAAAAAAAAAGAAAGAAAACAGTAGGAAACAGGAGATATGTGAAGAGTGAAAAGAGTTGGCTTGCTGTTACATCGCATTGCTCTTTATTAAAAATAATAAATTTAAAGGAGTTTAAAAATGGCAGAATGATTCAGTGAAATATGAACTGACTGTAGCACGGAACTGTAGTCAAGTTCATAAAGACAAAGTTAGATCTGAATATACTTTTTTTTTTTTTAATAAAGCTACCCATTTAAATTGCTTTAGGATTTTTAATAACAAAAAATGGAGAGGGAGGGAGAGGGAGAGAGAGAGGGAGGAAGAGGGAGAGAGAGAGGGAGGAAGAGGGAGAGAGAGAGGGAGGAAGAGGGAGAGAGAGAGGGAGGAAGAGGGAGGGAAGGAGAGAGAGAGGGAGGAAGAGGGAGAGAGAGAGAGAGGGAGGAAGAGGGAGAGAGAGAGAGAGGGAGGAAGAGGGAAAGAGAGAGAGAGGGAGGAAGAGGGAAAGAGAGAGAGAGGGAGGAAGAGGGAGAGAGAGAGGGTGGAAGAGGGAGGGAGGGAGAGAGAGAGGGAGGAAGAGGGAGGGAGGGAGAGAGAGAGGGAGGAAGAAGGGAGAGAGAGAGAGAGGGAGGAAGAGGGAGAGAGAGAGGGAGGAAGAGGGAGAGAAAGAGGGAGAAAGAGGGAGGGAGAGAGAGAGGGAGGAAGAGGGAGGGAGAGAGAGAGAGAGAGAGAGAGAGGAAGAGGGAAAGAGAGAGAGGGAGGAAGAGGGAGAGAGAGAGGGAGGAAGAGGGAGAGAGAGAGAGGGAGGAAGAGGGAGAGAGAGAGAGAGGGAGGAAGAGGGAGAGAGAGAGAGGGAGGAAGAGGGAGAGAGAGAGAGGGAGGAAGAGGGAGAGAGAGAGAGGGAGGAAGAGGGAGAGAGAGAGAGGGAGGAAGAGGGAGAGAGAGAGAGGGAGGAAGAGGACAGAGAGAGAGGGAGGAAGAGGACAGAGAGAGAGGGAGGAAGAGGAAGAGAGAGAGAGGGAGGAAGAGGGAGAGAGAGAGAGGGAGGAAGAGGGAAAGAGAGAGAGAGAGGAAGAGGGAGAGAGGGAGGAAGAAGGAGAGAGAGAGGGAGGAAGAGGGAGAGAGAGAGGGAGGAAGAGGGAGAGAGAGAGGGAGGAAGAGAGAGAGAGAAAGGGAGGAAGAGAGAGAGAGAGAGGGAGGAAGAGGGAGAGAGAGAGAGGGAGAGAGAGAGAGGGAGAGAGAGAGAGAGGGAGAGAGAGAGAGGGAGAGAGAGAGAGGGAGAGAGAGAGAGAGGGAGAGAGAGAGAGGAAGAGAGAGAGGAAGAGAGAGAGAGAGAGAGAGAGAGAGAGAGAGAGAGAGAGAGAGAGAGAGAGAGAGAGAGAGAGAGAGAGAGAGAGAGAGAGAGAGAGGGGTGATAGTGTGAGTGATTTAAAGTGACATTTATGCATTAAAAATAATGCAGGCAAATAAAACTTTAAAAACCCTTAACTTTCACTAAACTTTCATAAAACAAAAGTCGACCAAGAGATATTTAACTGACTCAGAATCTAAATTCTTTCTAAACATAAAACATAATTCCTAATATCTCATTCTTCCCCTCTAACAGAGTAGAAAATAAAATTTCAAAAAATTCAAAATTGCATATTTCTCCATCCGAACATTAACCCACTGATGCCAGGATGACATGTACGTACAGCCCTTGTCCACAGTAATTTTAGTTTATCGACTTTGCTTACCCGCTGACAACTTCACTAGATCTTGTTCATCAAAGAGTCAATTCTTACCTAATATCAAGTATTTACCCTTTCTTTATTTTTCTTACAAAGATTCTGTATTTCTAAATTATTGCTACTAGTACTCACATTAAGTTTACAATGATGCAAATGTCCCTGATCAAAATAACAGTAATGAAATTAATAGTTTTAAATCCAATAAAACTGCTTCCCAAAAATTTAAGGAACGGAGATATCAGCTGAGGTCAGGTAAGACTGCTAATAGACTTATTGGTGACTGAATGTAAACAAAATTCACAAAACTAAACTACAGTGGACAGTTCAATTACCCAGCACCAATGGGTTAAGAATATATCACACGATGGAAAAATTTTCCTGATCGTATTCAAATTTTAGGACCCAAACAGAAAGCCCTCCACACCCACGTTCATCGCTCAACAGCAGTTTCAACTCCTATATCCGAAACATGTCCTACTGATCATATTTGTATGTGTTTCCAATACACAAGTTGAAACTGGCAACTGAGACACATGCCTTCTACTCACACAGGCATATATTTCATATGCCAAGAGGTGAAACTGGCAGGAGACACATTAGCAATGATGAGCAGTGAGCTTGGATGTAAAAGGAACTCTAGGCAACATTTAAGATTACTTGATGAAAGGAGAAAATATATTTATTGCAAAATTTCCACACTTCAATTACTTCCTACTGTTTTGCTACAGTTTTAGTACATTAAAAGAGCACAGATTATATTAAACACACATTAATAGTTACACAAAAGAGAACAGACTATATTACACGCATTAATTATTACCCAACAGACATTACTTTATTTATGGGGTCACTGGTTAAAGTTAAACTCTTTAAATTAGATAAATAAATACCAAATTCATTAAGGGAGCTAACCATTACTTCTACCATTAATGTGGTTTGCAAAGAGCGCTACCTGAGGGGGGGTTAATTCGCGCACACACGTAAAATCGCTGCTCTGACTCTACTGCCTCGCATCGTCCCTTAAATGCGTCGGCAACTCAAAGAAAGCTAGAGAGAGCGAATCTCAGCATTAGCATCTACATCACAAAAAAGAATTACAATCTTGCGCCTGCCCACACAGACTACTCAAGCCTTACTTGCTGAATTATCCCTACATTGCTTGGTGGCAGTCCGAACCCAGGCGAGAGTCCATTGTTGAGCGGGGCGCCCGGTGAGACCCCATAGCCTCCGCCCGACGGCAGAGTGGACGAGTGAGGGGCCCCACCCTGGTAGCCTGGGGTAGAGCAGGCAGAGGAGAGGGAGGAGGTGGAGTTGGTGTGATGGTGGCGGCTCAGCAGCGGCGAATCCTCAAGCACTGGAAGGTTGAACAGCTCTTAGTTGGTAACCCAAACCGCTAATAACCCCTCTTCTTATTTTTTCTTATCTTCTTTATTTTTTACTTGTTACTGAACTTTTACTGAACAGTCTTCAAATCATTAACATGTAAGGACACTAATTCCACTAATTTGAACCTTGCTCAATAGTTATCAAAGATGCTGGGACTAAAGAACAAATGGACATGGTTTACACAGGTTTAAAATTTTAGCTTTAAACTATATGCTGTTAAGCCATTAATGTATGAAAGATATATATTTTTTTTATCTCTTCATCAAAAGCTCCAGAATATGCATCAATATGTATAGATTTCATAAAATATTCATAGACAGAGCACTCCTCTTTAATAATCATGATATTGCTTAATTGTAATTCTTTTCCAAAGTCAGTTTGTACATTGACAGGTTAATTAAATATATAAAACAATACATATATGTACTACTGAGTATACACTGACCTGTACCACTAATCTGTCATTAAATTATTCCAAACATTTAATTTCTTCATTACCAAATAAAGGCAATAAACCAAAAAAGCTCCATCTCCACAAACAGGATCTCACAGCAGCAGCCTCAAAGCAGATTTACAACCCCTACCTTTATCACGCCGTTCATCTCACCTCTTTTCCCTGTGAGTAAGACCTACATCAGAAACCAAGCTTTCTGTGTGTGTATGTGTAGCTACAGGTGGATCTTTCCTTATCAGCCATGCAACAAGTTTTCCTTATCAGTTTCACAATGTAAACAATGGTCTGACAAAATAAAAGTCAGTGATCAATCAAAATTTAGTACAGAGCTGATCTTCTGTCCATGTTCTACGAGCAGTTACTATAAATAACTTGAGTTCACAAACCTTGCCTCTGGCTTGAATGCTTGCAACTTTTAACTTTTAAGAGTGCAAATCTCCTAGATGGGATTAACTAAAAAGTTTAAGACTCTGATAAAAATAATAATCATATATGACAATACAAGACATGTAACATTTTACCAATATACAATCTCCCATAAGGATTTCACCAAGAAAAGGCTTACAAACATGAAAAGGTTTTGGCATTAAAAAATAATATTAAGAATATACCCACAATGACAACATCTAGCTTTGAATGTAAAAAAAAGAACAAAAAACGTAAATCCTCCCTGCAGCACAGACAATAAAAAAAAAAAAAAAAAAAATGAAACACATATTAAAAACCTCCTCTTCCGTGACTCACTTGCACCGTCTGAGAAGCGTCGGGGAATGCGGCCCCCTATGGTGTACCTGGCCCAGCTGCGGCGCAAGGCCTTCAGCACCGCCATCTGTGTCCGTCCCTCTGCGAGCCCCGGAGTGGTCTCGTCAGGGGTGTGTGTGGGGGGATGTGTGGGAGAGGGCTGGGAGGAGGCAGGAGGCGAGAGCAGAGGTCTGTTAAACCCTGTTGTTAGAGGCGGCAGCGCGAGGGAGGCGGGCGGTCCGAAGGGGAAGGTATCGAGAGGAGGATATGGATACAACATGCCGAGGGAGGTGATAGAGGGTGGGGAGAATAATGGAAGGAGAAGCAGAAGCAAAGGGAAAAAGATGCAGGAGAGGCAGAAGAAGGAGAAAGGGAGGAGGAGAGGACAAAAGCAAAAAACAAAAACCCCAAATCCACAACAGAAAACAAAACAGCGAAGAAGCACATGCACAGCATTACAAAAATTAGGATTCCCCGTCGCACCGGAAAAAAAAAAACACACGAGAAAGAGCCGCAATTATGGTTTATTTGTCCCGAACCACAAAAAGCGAGCATAAAAGGGGACAACCAAGGATAAAAGGAACGGGAAAGAGAGAAGGAACCATGAGATCAAATCATTAATGTCAATACAACTACGACTACATTACACAGAGCACAATATCTGGGTCTTAAAACAAATTCCATTTCCTTGAAAAATTGGCATTCTGTTCTTGTAAAAATTACTACTATTACATCAACCAATGACAAACAAATAAATAACTGGAAAATAAATTCTATATAAATATTGAATTGCAAATTAGAAGTAATAGTAATAATACTAATAATTACAATTAAAAAACTATAACTATATCTATGTTCATAACCATATCTATAATTATTATTTCAATAGTAATAATAATTACAATAATAACAATAACAATAACAATAACAATAATGATAATGATAATAATAATAATAATAATAATAATAATAATAATAATAATAATAATAATAATAATAATAATAATAATAATAATAATAATATTTTCTTTAACAGGAAATGGAATTGGTTATAAAACACCCTAGAACACAAACAACACAGAGCATAGTGTGTGAAGCTGCATCAATATACAGTAAGAACACTAATAAAAAAAAAGGAGAAAAAAAATTAGAATTAAAGAACAGCTCAGCAGAATCAAAAAGAGGATCTAAACTACAGGAGCTTTAACAAAAAAAAAAAAAAAAAAAAAAAAAAAAAAAAAAAAAAAAAAAGAGATGGATGTATAAAAATAAAAGACATACCTGGTAACACAAGCATCTAAAGGGGGCAAGAAGCAAGCAAGAAAAATAACTAAAAAAACATGGGGTGTTGTTCCTAAACCAAGTGTCATATTTAAGTGAGGGGGATGGAGGGAGGGAGGGAGTTGGAGGGAGGGAGGGGAGGGAGGGAGGGGAGAGGGAGGGAGTTGGAGGGAGGGAGGGAGTTGGAGGGAGGGAGGGAGGGAGGGAGGGAGGGAGGGAGGGAGGGAGTTGGGAGGGAGGGAGGGGAGAGGGAGTGAGTTGGGAGGGGGGAGAGAGTGAGAGTGAGAGTGAGAGTGAGAGTGAGAGTGAGAGTGAGAGTGAGAGCGAGAGAGAGAGAGAGAGAGAGAGAGAGAGAGAGAGAGAGAGAGAGAGAGAGAGAGAGAGAGAGAGAGAGAGAGAGAGAGAGAGAGAGAGTGAGAGAGAGAGAGAGAGAGAGAGAGAGAGAGAGAGAGAGAGAGAGAGAGAGAGAGAGAGAGAGAGAGAGAGAGAGAGAGAGAGAGAGAGAGAGAGAGAGAGAGAGAGAGAGAAGAGAGAGAAGAGAGAGAGAGAGAAGAGAAGAAAGAAAGAAAGAAAGAAAGAAAGAAAGAAAGAAAGAAAGAAAGAAAGAAAGAAAGAAAGAGAGAGGGAGAGAGGGACCCTATAAATCTTCCCAAAAGCCCTAAAGGACGCCTAGACCCTAACGGCACAAACCTTCCTTGTCGTCACCATCCTCACCATCCTTCTACCAGAGCCTGGAGGGTGAAGAAGCAGAAGACCGGGAACTACAGCCCCAACTTACATTGCCTGGGGAGCGAGTGCGAGCGCGTCACCCCAACACCCCCTGGCTTGGGGCTCAGGGAGTGGTGGTGATTTTGCTGTGGCGGAGGAGTGTGGTGGAGAAGGTCGAGGGAGGGCACGTTGGGGGCAGGCAGGGTGTCCGCACGGTCCCTCTGGTGGTTTCGTCTCTCGCGGGAGTTCTCAAGCATCTCCTCGAAGTCGAGGACAGCCTCCTGTTTGGGGGTGGTAGGTAGAGAGAGGGAGAGGGAGAGGGAGAGGGAGATTGATAAGGTGTTGTAATGGATATGTAGTAATGTGGAAGATTTGGCTGTTTATAAATTTATTATATACTTATTTCCTCATCTGTTTCTCTCTCTCTATATCTATGTAACTGTTGAATTATCATTTTGCACATTCATCAAAGACTTATCTACCTTTCCATTTATCTATTTACCTGTGCATCTATATAACTACATATTATAAGGCTCAATTTTTTTTTACTTTATTAATTTACTTAATTTCTGCTCTTCTATGTATAAATGTATCTGTAGTGATCTACAGGAAGAATGAGGACTGATAGTTGTCACCTGATTTATTTACTAAATTGTTTATGCACTAATTCACAAATCTGTGATCTATGACCATATACAGCTTTCCTTTCATTAACATCTGATGGCATGACTTGATCTTAATATTCATCTAATCACAAATATATATTACTCAACCTAAATACCAAAGAAATAATGTCTCTAAGTTAATCATCCCATATTCAAAGAAAGACAAAACTGAAAAAAAAAAGAAAGAGAGAAAGAAGACATACATACATCAAGTTATACCTGATGAAAAGGAAAGAAAAAAATAATAGACAAAAGTTGTGCACTCATGCCAGCGCACAAAAGCAAAGAATGTATAAACTGAAATCAAGATCATCGAAACAAAATTCCCTTAGTTTCCCCTTCTGCTACTATCAACACCCCAAGTGTCGGCCTCTACCTGCAGGGCCTCACTCGCATCCAGGTTGGAGCTGGAGTTGAGGCCAGAGCTGGAGTGGGACGTGGTGTTGATGACATCCGGCGGGGGAGACATCAGAGGGGTCCTGCATCGCCTGGGGGGAGGGGGAGGGGGCGTTCGTTCCCGCAGCGAGTGGGACCTTCGTGCAATCGAGGAGGTCTCGTGTTTCAGGGTCTCGATCTTCCTTGGCTCCTCAATCTGCAAGGGGGAAGGGGTGCATTCTTAGGGAGTCTACTGATCTGTTTTCTTCACAAGTTTTATAGAGGTTTTATGCTATTTTCAGTTTCTCATATTTAGAGCATATATGTAAAAGGCAAATAAATGCATGGTTGCAATTCAGGGAAACAGAACCATTACCACAAGAAGCTTAAAATTCAAACACTTTCTTTTAGTGTAATATTGCCTCAATAATTCAAAACATGGATTAACAAGACTCTATATCACTTTTACAATGTTTCCACCTTCTCTCATATATTCACGCACTGTAGCTATTCATTATCCTATGGACATCTAAGTCACAATATTCAAATACTTGATTCAAATGAAGGACTACACTGGGTTATTTCTAACTTTCTTTCATCTCTAAACCAAGAGTAAAAAAAAAAAAAGGCAAGCCAAGCATTAAAACTCACAATCTCCAGCCTCGTCTGCGAGAGCTGGTTGGGTGGCGCTTCGTTTTCCTTCCCCGGAGACAGGCCGAGGAGAACCTCCATGGACTTTGTCTGTCGTCGCCTGGCCCGCTTGAGCTTCTTGAGGTGTCGAAGGGTCGGGCTGTCATTCTTCGAGCCCTAATGAGAGGACATGCCAGGGTGTGAGTGAAAGAATAATTGTAGTCATAGTAAATACAAGATGTGTGTGTGTGTACATTGCCTCTATGTGGAACATATAAAGATGTGGTCCCCGAGTAAAACAGTACAAGCAATTCCTATAAACCTATTGCAGCGGTTAAAAATTCATATCTTTTAAAATAACCACATGAACATTCTAAAACAAAATCATTGGATGTATTCTCTACCTGTGTGAGCATGTCGCAGTATCGCACAAAGTCCAGGTCGATGTGGTATCCATAGGGGCAGCAATGGCACCGCCCTGAACGACCATTCTGCACATGGCTCTCGTACACACTGCTCCCTGACGTGTTGTGAGCAGCTGTGGGGTCAAGAAAGACATTAGTGCAAGAATGAAGACCTTTATATTACAATATGTCTATGTATGGGTTCACATTACTGTTTGCCATGTAGGTGTGGAGGGGGGGGGGGGGGGGAGATGAGTGTGAGTGTATATGTATTAATATCTGTATGAGTGTGTGTGAGAATGAATGTGAATGTGAGTGTGTACGTGTATATGTGTGAATGTGAGTGTGTATGTGTATATGTGTGAATGTGAGAGTGTATGTGTATATGTGTGTATATGTATAACTTCCTATTCATATGTATGTATTCTTAAATACATGTACATAATTGTCCTGTGAATTAACAGTGAACGGACCCTTTTCTGCCTTCTCCCACTGACCTTTGAGAGGCGAAAGGCTGCTGAAGTATTCTGCAGCGTTTGTCTTCATGTTGTCGGTTCAGAGGTGACTGAGATCTCTCCTTAAGACATCAACATCTGGAAAACGAAAATTATAATTACTTGTCAATCAGAAATAGAGTGGAAAAAAATCTTTAAATTTCTAAATGACTCTTTATGCAATCATAGAGTTAGTTAATACCATTTCAAGGCAAGCTAAAGAAGGGAATACAATGCTACTTATAGAATAAAATTAATCCCAGATTACTTATGAAAACAAAGATTATTTAGTGAGAGCTTAAATTATGCATAGAAAAAGAATAACCTGTGTTAATTATATGCAAATAGATGGAGGAAGGCTGACCAGGTGCTCATAAACCTATGACTTTTTTAAATATTTATTTAATTTCCCAGCTTTTGGTGCAGTCAGCTGAAAGCACTTTACAATTTTAAAAGACAACCTGGGCAGTTAAAGTTACATATGAGGTTCCTTCCTCATCAATACATAACCACATGTCCACAAAACATAGTCTACATTCCTAGAACCAGTTTTTACCTTGAAAAAAATGGACGTCATGATTTTGACCATGCTAAATGCCTGTAAATATACCATGTTTTCATTAAAGACATCAGCAACAAATAAAACAAATCTATTTTTTGGGTTTCAATTCTCCTGACGTAATTCTTTTCATGCATAGCAAAAAGCAACTATTAATCGAAATATATTCCAAAGTTTGATCACTTCATTTGGTCATATTCTTATGGTCTTTAGTGGAAAGATGATACTTCATAATCAACCTTTGTTTTTCCTTATTTAATAAATTCTTCATTTTACTTTGTTCCTGAATAAGGAATCGAGAACTTCAACACCAAACTTGTATAAATAATCCTCTGTCATTTCGGGAAATTGCTACAATAGGAATTTCGAAAATAAATATACGAAGAGCCATCGATTCAATCCACACACGACAATAAAATATCACGAGAAAATGTATGAGTAAATTATTAAAATCATCAAGAATAACCTAGTTTGTAGAAAGTTAACACTCAACCACTTTCTACCTTATCTCCACCGTCAATTTCACACCAAACATCACAAAACTTTTTTAGATAGTCAAGACCTTATCAAAAAACGTAAAATACCTTCACACGAACACCTAAAAAATAGACTTTGAAGCCATTTACCTCAAGAAAATAACAAAGACAGCGTGTCCGGCTCATTACTCGCGCGGCGTTGATGTCACCGTCAGCTGATCCGATGTAAACAAAGAGGGGAAACGGACGCAAAACATTTTCGATATATTGTTCCTAAAGTCATTATTAAAGTCATTATCGCTGTGATAATTCTGATCACCTATTTTGTTGCTGATGTTTGACTATTAGGTAGCATTGTTATTAAGGTCATTAAAATATTATCTCTATTACGTAATTTGAGTATAATCGTTTTATTGTCAGAGTCACTGCAACTGTTAAAAGTATTACCGATATTAACATTAGTCGCAGTAAAGGGAGCATTAAAATCATCGTAATAATTATTATCATTGTCAATATCATCATCATATTAGTAGTAGTAGTAGTAGTACTATTATCATTATCCTTATCATCATTATTATTATCATTAGTATAATAATAATAATTATCATCATCATCATCATCATCATTACCATCATCATCATCATATTAGTAATAATATTATCATTATCATTATTACTATTATCATAATAATAATAATTGTTATTATAATCATTATCATTATTACTATAATAATGATAACAATAATAATAATAATTATTATTATTATCATTATTATTATTATTATTATTATTATTATCATTATCATTATCATTATTATTATTATCATTATTATTATCATTATTATTATTATTACTATTATTATTATTATCATTATTATTATTACTATTATTATTATTACTATTATTATCATTACTCTCAATACTATTATCATTATTATTACTACTGCTACTACTACTATTAGTATCATTACTCTCAATACTATTATCATTATTATCATTATTATTACTACTGCTACTACTACTATTATTATCATTATCATTATTATATTACTGCTACTACTACTGCCATTACAATTATCATTATTACTGATGTTGTTCTCGTCCCTATCAATAGTTATTATTATCACTGTCACCATTATCAGTGAATCTCTATTAGGCCTATCGTAACTTCCATATCAGCCAATCAGTCACTACCATCATTATCTGCTTATTATATACCCATGGTCATTAGCACTAATGGTGTTTTGGATAATGATATTTGATATAATTTCTCTTTCTCTTTCTTTCTTTCTCTCTCTCTCTCTCTCTCTCTCTCTCTCTCTCTCTCTCTCTCTCTCTCTCTCTCTCTCTCTCTCTCTCTCTCTCTCTCTGTTCGTGTGTGTGTGTGTGTGTGTGTGTGTGTGTGTGTGTGTGTGTGTGTGTGTGTGTGTGTGTGTGTGTGTGTGTGTGTGTGTGTGTGTGTGTGTGTGCGTGTGCGAGCATCCGTACGTGATCGTGTACGTGCGTTCATTTATAAGCGCGTGCTTTATTATCCATCCTTTGTGAGCGGTCTTATTCATCGGTGCTTACGTACACATGCTCATACAGTCATGCAGCGTAAACGTGCGTCAGTTTGAATGTTAATATGCATGGCCGTGTTGCTTTAGGCCCAGACGAGTGTAAGCAGAGGCGACTGTTAAAGAAATGTGAGGGAGACCGATTTTAGTTTCGACTGAATAACCTCCATCGCATCGAGTATGTTGTGGTTGGAGAGGTAATAATAATAATAATAATAATAATAATAATAATAATAATAATAATAATAATAATATATGCAGGCCTAATTTTGATCAGATTTCTGTGATAGAGCTTATAGCAAGGATCCCTTAGATGCGTCCCTTCCGTTTTCTCTGCTTATGGGGATAATATATGACTATTTCCCCCCCTGCTTATTTCAGATTCCAGATCACGCGACATTGTTAATACAGAAACTTTTAAACGACAGGATAAACCAGGTTGAACAACAGAAATGTCGATTTTAACACAAGAAATGTATTAGTGAATCTACCAGCCAACAGAGTCCCCGCTGACAATGTCCTTGCTTAGATCGGCAGAATGCACGATGCACAGCAGACACGAAACTATATAAGAATAAATGCTGGTGTATCTGCACGTGCTTCACAAACCGAGCCGAGACCTAAACGACACGGCAACAGGAAACACAAGATAGAGGGGGGAGGGGGGAGGGGGGGAGAAAAATTCGAGGCCATGCTATTCCGGATTTATTTTTTTCACGAAACTGTTTCGCGGCGACTAATACAATATGATCCAAATGTTGCATGTTGTCTCGTAGGGTGCCAGTGCCTCTCCTCCCCCCCCTCCCCCTCCCCCTTTCCCTATCTTCACCCTTTCCCGGGTTTCGCTTAGGGTGAGGGAGGGAGGCTGGAGGGAGAGGATGAGGGAGGGGGGGGGGGGGGGGGGTAGCTGTGGTTTCGATTCTCGGAGGAAATGAGGGTGGGCGTGCTCTTGGGGTTGGAGGTTTCTTTGTTTCCATTCTTCGTTTTATTTGGTCTAATTTTCTCTTCTTTTTTTTTTTTTTACTTTTTTCTGACTTCGTCTCCGTCTCTGTTTTTGTCTTTGTCTTAGTCTTAGTCTTTGTCTTTCTCTTTCTCTGGCTTTGTCTCCGTCTTTCCCTTTCTCTGCCTCTTTCTCCGATTTTGTCTCTGTTTTTCCCTTTCTCTGTCTCTTTCTCCGTCTCTGTTTCTGTTTCTCTTTGTCTTTGTCTTTCTCTTTCCCAGTATCTTTCTCAGTATTTTTCTCCGTCACCGTCTCTTTTTCTCCGTCACTTTCTCTCCGTCTCCGTCTCCCCTTCGCTCTCCATTCTTTAATTCATTCATTCTTTCATTCATTCATTCACACACAAAGGACCACCGCCCTCCTTATTCCATACACAATGCCCCCCCCCACCCCCCACGCCCACCCCGTCTATACGCACGTAGTTGTTGTTTTTTTTTCTCCGTCACCGTCTCTTTTTCTCCGTCACCGTCTCTTTTTCTCCGTCACCGTCTCTTTTTCTCCGTCACTTTCTCTCCGTCTCCGTCTCTGTTTTTGTCTTTGTCTTAGTCTTAGTCTTTGTCTTTCTCTTTCTTATTCATTCATTCTTTCATTCATCATTCACACACAAAGGACCACCGCCCTCCTTATTCCATACACAATGCCCCCCCCACCCCCCACGCCCACCCCGTCTATACGCACGTAGTTGTTGTTTTTTTTCTCCGTTACACGCCCATCCACACTCAAGTCTTCCCCTCCCACGCCCATCTACCCGCCTACACGACCATCCATCTCCGTTTTGTTCTATCTTCGTTTTTCCTTTATCTTCGTTTTCCTTTATCTACGTTTTCCTTTATTTCTCCTATCCTATCTTCCATTTAATTTCCCTTCACATTTACTTGCATCCCTCGTTCTTCCCTTTTCCTTATTTCCTTGCCTTCCACTCTCCCTCTATTTTCCATAATTCTTCTCTCTTTTCTTTCCTTCCCTCCCTCCCTCCCTTCCGCCCTCCTTATTACCTTCCTTCCTTATTCCCACCTTCAATTTCTCCCTCCCTCTCTCCCTCACACTTCTCCTTCATTCATTCCTTGCGTCTTCCCTCCCTCTCCCCCATCTCCCCTCCCACCCTCCTTTCTCCCTCTCTCCTGTCTCCCTCCCCCCCTCCCATCTCCCCTCCCACCTTCCTTTCTTCCTCCTTCCCTTCCTCCCTTCCTCCCTCCTTCCCTCCCTTCCTTCCTTCCTTCCTTCCTCCCTCCCTCCCTCCCTCCCTCCCTTCCCCCCCTCTCATCTCCCCTCCCTCTCCCTCTCCCTTCTCCCTTCCCTCCCTCCCTCTCTCCCTCCCTCCCTCCCTCCCTCCTTCCCTTCTCCCTCCCTCCCTCCCTTCTTCCTCCTCCCCTTTCCTTCCCTTCTTCCTCCTCCCCATTCCCTCCCTCCCTCCCTCCCCTTCATTCCCTCCCCTTCACTTCGGCCGAAATGCTAATAGCGAGTATTTCAGACCTAAATATTATACATTCCAATTACTGCCACCAGAGGGCC